CTTTAGAAAAATGACTACAGACACCTAGGAATTTAAGAGGTAGACTGCCACGTGCTGCAGGAAGCTCAGGAGAAACTGACAAAAGTCCTGGACAACAAGTATTAATCGCTTGTAAAAAGCATTCAAGGGCTGGCATTTAAGGAAAAGAAAGCCGACATTTGTTGGAGGTCTATGATATGCTGTAATTTCTTCCAGGCATCCTTGGAATGTTTTTCTCATTTATCCTCACAATTATTCTATAAGATGGCATTGTTACTACATTTTACAGATAAGGAATCTAAAACTCAGAAACATTAAGAAACTTGCCGGATGTCACATATCTAGTAAACGTGAGAGCTGAACACAGACCTGCCTTATTCCAATGACCATTTGGTTTTTGTTATATCACTGGCTTTTACTCAGCCACAAAATTGAGAACATGAGAGGACTGTCTGTACATGAAACGCTTCCTTGGTCTACCTTTCAACCGGAAAAAAAAAAAAAAAAACAAATTCTTCTTTCCAGACAGTCAAATAACAGAACCTTATCATCCTGGAAGACAGACAGTATTTTTAATTATTTTAGCAAAATACTCTGGAAAAGCAAAGTAAAATAAAAAGAGCTTGAGTTTTAGCCATCAACTCACTAAATTTAAATCCTGGTTTCATTAAATCTTGTCATTCTGCTTTTCCCAGTAACATACCAGGGTGAGGTAAATTATATCTAACTAATATGAGAATAAATGAACCTATGTGACCCAACTTAAATTTACATGATATAAATAAAATGTTCAGGCATAATTCCTGCCATACTACAGATGTTGCAGAAATATTATTTCCTTCTACCTTTGTCTAAGTTAATATTATAAGCCAAACACTCAGAAAATGTTCTTACTACTCGTTAGCAACTCTCTTGTTTTTCTCAGCAGTCCCTTATCTGAACTCTTTCACTTTTGTTTCCTGTTCCACTGGTCTCTTCCGCTTTGCAACGCTGCTAATCTTTTACTGAGCAAATGTGTCTTTTGTCTTACACTCTTTTATGAAGTGCATACTAGCCCAGATCCTAACATTCTGTAAAGAAAAATGCTACTGAATGCAATGTTTAAGCAGTATGAAATGGCACCTGCATCATCATATTTCATACTTTCATATTTTTGTTTATATTTCTTTGAAATTAGTTTGTCTTTCCTGTGTGTAAAAATAAATATGCTCATTGTAGAAAATACTAAAAATGCAGAACTTTTTAAAGTTCTCCAAAATTTTGCAACTCAGAAAAACCTCCACACTGTTAGTATTCTCTCTCTCTCTTTTTTTTTTTGCAGGCTTCCTTTCACCACATTTGTGTGTGTGTGTGATCATAATTGAATTCGAAATGGGTTATTGCACTTGAAATAATATCATATTCCTTTTCATTTGTCATTAGAAAACAATGCAATAACATAGCTTTGAATGGTGCATAATATTTCATCATATAACTATCCCTGCTTTATTTGTTTATAATCTCCCCTGGGAAAAGAGTTGCAATACAAATATCTATTTAAATTACTATTGCTTGAAAAATAGAACTAATGAGAAAACACACAATTACAATGCATATTCAATCTCATAATTGTAGAGTGTGTACAGCTATAGCTTTAGCAAAAGAAGAATTAAAATATTAAAAATTCACTAACATTCACTAAGTGTCTCATGAATAGTTTTACCAGTTTATGTTGTATATTGTTATTATGAAAATGTTCATTGATATACCGTTTTGTTATTGTTAGGAAGGCAATAATTTTCTATAAATACTTGTTGAATAAACAGAAATAAAAAAGACTTTTGTAGCTTTATATTCCTATGGTACAAAAAATACTTTTCAAGAAGGGAAATACCATTTCCTAACCTTACACAAAATACATATGGTAGATGGATAGAGGTTTATATTGTCATTGAAAGAAAATTTTCAATTTTAAATTTTAATTACTTTTTCATATTCAAATTCCTCTATTAGTTCTTTATTCACAGCTGCTATATGAATAAAAGCAAATTTTTCATCCAATGACCCTCTCTTGCAAAATCTTTAAAAACAGTTGAACTAAACAATTCTTATGTCCATGTCATAAAATCCTACATTTCTGTATTCTAAAGATTAATAAATATGGCTTCTAAATCAAAGCACAATAAAATTATATTAGGTACCTTGTTTTTGAGAATGAGAGAATATGCACAAAAAATCTTTATTAATTTTTTCAGGTATGTTGCTATATGTTAGCTAAAGCTTTAGAAATTAAATACTTGTATAAAGTATTCTGATTAACTATACTGATTATGTAGAACATTTGTAGGCACAAAACATGCATCTAAAAATATATTGCTTAGTTTTAAAAAATCCTGTTTTCACAGCACTATTAGTTTTGATAAGATAAGCCGTTTGTGTAAGGCACAAGAATAGAAAAATTCTTTTATCTTATCAAATAGAGGATTATGTAGGAAAGGATGCATTCTCCAGAATTTTCATAGTTTAAAATATTTAATACTCTAAGAGTTCTTAGTGGATCAGTAAAGACATACCATGAAAAGTTATTTTTGAAGCGTATTTAAGCAGATACAATGTTATCATATGAAGGCAAATTATAATGTTCCTTCTTACTGACAGGGCCTCCGGGTACTTTCTGATCTTTTGCCTAAGTGCATTTCATATTCTTTAGTTATATCTAAACAAAGCCCATACATTTGGTCCAAACATAGGAAAAAGTAATCAGAGCTTTCATTGAAATCCAGTAGATGAATACATTGTTTATTGACAACCTTTGTTAAGTGATACAGCTGGGGATGGAAGCTGCGGTCAAAGCAGTAACCAAGATCACCAGAGGACACTTCGAACACCACTATCACTGCTATGGCTTTCTGCTCTTCACTCCTGTTTTAAAGATTGCTCAGATTTTTTCAGGAAGTGTGTAGAAATATGTTTGAGGCTCAGCGTGCTTCTCTTATTTTGCTGATATAGTCTCTGGCATTAGCCAGACTTCTTGGAACAGTAACCGTTTTTAATGGCAAGCTAACATGTCCTCTAACAAAAACCTTCTCTTCCCACTTTTACTCACCAGTTTGCTGATTTCCATGTTAGTGTTCACTTTTTTCTTCCTTAAAGCCTAAAATGCCTTACATTTTGGCAAAGTGAACTTATTTTCTTTTTTGGCTAAATTATTTAAAACAAAACGTGTCAACTGCTTGAACTTTTACTTTTATATCAATCAATATTTCCTGGTCTCCTTTTCAAATGAACTAACTTTTCTAAAGATTTTTAAGAGGTCACCTGACTTCAGGAGTAAAAATATACAAATGAGAAGAAAGTGTTTACTACGTTCAACAAAATTTGTGGCAAAGAATCAAAACGTGCATATATCTAAACTGCGAAGTATCTCTAGTTAAAATATAAGCTGTTTAACATTAACTTTAATGTTAGCAACCTCACAAATGCCTTTTCTACAAGTCAGGGCCTCACAGAAAGCCATAAAAGGAAAGGAATATAATTTCGCTTGCTGGCACTTACTGAAAAGCTAAAATAGAATAGTAACAGAAATCATATTTGCCAGCCCTAACCGAAGGAGTTGTGAAACATCATATCAGAAATTGTAAGTTATTATAAAAACGTTGTAATTACCATGCTATTAACTATGCCTTATAGGAGTTGAAATTTTTGTTTAACCAAAAATTATTTCAAAATCAGGCAGCTAATTACTTACATTTAGAAAATGCATTGCACACAGAGATATGGAGCATTTTAAAATGTAGCTTTAGGTTGAAATGAAATAGTCCATTTTTATTCCCTAATGAGAACTAGGATTTTTGAAATATTTTCATGTATAGTAATAATATCCTTGAAATAATTCACTTCTTTTTCCAGTTGTTGGACTCAAAAGATTTTTTTAAAACTGTGTTATTTCATAAATTTGGAATTCTTTAAAGCAAACATGGGTGTGTGAAAGTTAGTTAAAGCACACCTAAGAGTAATAAATTACATGATTCTTACAGTGAGTTATTGCTCTTTTTTAAAGTGATTCATTGGCTATGGCTTGGGTAGCTTAACCCTTTGAAGTATGCACATGTGTGTATACAGATTACACATGTTTTACACAATTCTTAAGTTTGGAATTACAGGTATATGTATATGGAATTGTGAGGTAAATACAGAAAGTTTGGATAAATGCCACTGTGGCAGAACCGTAAAGATTAGTGTCAGCCATGGGATCTTTTTGCTGATGTAGTAATGCACACTTCAGTTCACCTTAACAATGACTCTCTGTGTTGACTACTGCATTATGTCATGACATAGTGTATTTATAGGTTTTTCAGGTATAACTGTGAAAGCTTTATTGAATTCCTTTTCATTTATTTTCTAATTACAGTTTTCAATCTATGTCATATCCAAGGGAACAAAACAAGAAAATAAATCAATTTATTTCTCTGTGTTTCTTTTTTAATAAAAAGAAAACTGAGCTTTTCTGACTTTTTTTCTGAAATTACTTTTTTATGCTTTCTTAAAAACAGATTTATCTTAAAATTTAAATTCTAATATGAGACTCGTTGCCAAGATACATGTTTAGCATTTTTTTTCTTTCAGAGAACTTTGTTTCTTGTAAGAATAATTTATATGGCTAAGGCTCTAGTCCCAAAACAGTTTTAAATTGAAAAAAAAGGAAAGCAGCCTTTAAGAAACCAAAATGCCCATTTTTTGTCTTAAATGAATCTAGCAGTGCCTCTTTTATTCTCTACTATCCTCACTGACACACACTGCAACAAGCCTACCCACGCCCTATTTTCACACTTTCTTCCCTAGAGTAAATCCTTTTTACATAAGGTGGCCTTATGGTTTGTCCACAGCCTAGGCAATGCAAATATCAGCAAATGAGTCCCTGGGATACATGTTAATAAAAGTTTTACAATGTAATGTTAAGAACCGGTTGGTTTCTCTGTCTCCAAATACTGGTCTAATACATGTTTGAAGATTAGAGTTAGACAATGGATAAATTTACATACAGTTCTGTGCTCTGTAGAGAAATGTAGCTGCTTTAGAGTAGAACGGCAAAATGTGGCCTTTCTGAACTTAGAAGAGACAATTCTGGCCACTCCTCCTTCCCCATTTTAATGGTTCAACTAACCATAGACAAACACTCTTAGCATATTTGGGGAAGTAAGTTGTTATTTTATCAGTTTGAGGACTTCTCTAAATTTATCTTTTATATGCACTCCAGCCCTAGGCTTGTGTTCAAACATCTGAAAAGACAAAAGCTCTTGCTGTCAGTTCTGTATTAACTTCTTGTTGCAATAGGAATAGTCCGTTAATCTCATTTGCCTATAAGCTTATTTTTTTCTTTCCTTGGTTTTCTACCCATAACATTCCCCAACTTAATTTACTGCTTGGAAGTTCTATATTGAAGATCACCCATTTCCTGTCTATTCCCTGCTCATTCTTTACTGTGTCTATGGATATATCTGATGCTCTCTATTCTTAAAAGGATGAGAAAATGAGAAATAGGAAGAAACTGAGGGGTTGTTTTAAATCTCAACCAAGAAAATCATTGACATTACACCGATCATTATACACCTGATATAAATCTACACACTCAAGTGTTCAAGAAATTTCATTTTCTTTTAGTATCACAATTTTAAAAGTTTGATTCTAACTCTGAGACCTCTTCCCATTGGGATAACAGGAAATTCAATCCCAGGAACGCTCAGTACTCCCTGTCTTCTCTCACTCCTCTTCTCCCAGGCCCAGGGTTATTAAGAAATAGAAGTCAACTGTAATGTAGAAACAGTAAAAGATGGCACCTTTTCAAGAATGTGCCCCTCTCTACATAGGCCTTTCTGATTGCTGATCTTACTTGGATAGACCTTCTGTATTTTCAACAGAGGACATAAATATTCATTTTTATGTGAACTCTCCCAAATCATAAATATTTATTTAAATGATACCATTTAAAAGTATACAGCTTTAAGCCAATTCAGCCCATTGGCCACCATTTTACAACTTCTGTCTTGGACATGGTAAGTACCATAAGGGCACTTGCCATCAGGCTGCTTCAGCCTTTCTGCCCTGCATGAAGGCAAGGGTCAGCCTGGCTATCTGTTGGTTAACTTTACAGAGCCCAGGAGCTCAGGGGAGATGCTCACTTGGATAGTCCTTGCTCTAACATTTGGTGACTCTCATTTATTACAGAGTACTTTGTGCTTTAGGAGTTCTCTAGTTCTAAAGGTTGTTTGTACAAGCACATCTATAAAAAAATTAATTGCACCAAATAGTAGGCATTGCATGGTTCTTATCAGGTGAAACTAGAGGAAGTATTTGGCATGTTGTTTTATTCTTTGCAGAGATTCCATAATTCCAACACTATGAGGAATATATTGGTAAAAGGAGAGATGAGATGCTGGTGTCTGGCCCCTTAATACATGATGGGCTTCAAAAGTCCAGGCAAGGGCAAATAGAAGAGGTGTGAATCTGGACATGGATAAGGGAAAGAATGGAAAAGAAAATTGCAAGAGATGATGTAGAGTAAACTGGATAGGATTTGGTATCAAAGATATAGAGAGTGGTTGGGAAAGGGCATAATAGACACAGATGTCTATGCTTTGAGGACTCTGGATATGAGGATGAATTTTCCCTTCTACAAAATATTGACTAATAAAGCATTAGTTTCAGATGATCTATAATCAGTTCTATTTTGGACAAATCAGATCATGACACTCTGCATCTTAAAAGTTTCCATTGGCTTTCTGATACAAATGGGACACGTTTTAGCCTCTTCTACTTAGTCTGAAAAGTCCTTTAACATACAACCGCAAACTGCCTCTCTAGTCCTTACAGAGCACCCTGAATGCTCAATGCTCTACATCTACTCAAACATACTATATTTCTTCGCTGTTTCTAAAATATGCTAGGCAAATGTCACAAGTATGTTGTTTCTGTCTGCAATGCCCACCTTCTTCACCTAGCAAACATCTAATTCTTATAGCACCAGTATTGAAGATGCTACCTTGGCAAAGTCATTCCCAGCTCTCCCTGGCAAACATCTAATTCTTCTAGCACCAGTATTGAAGATGCTACCTTGGCAAAGTCATTCCCAGCTCTCCCTGGCAAAGCTGTGTTTAATATGTTTTGCTCTCTGCAAAAATAGCTTATCCCTTACTTTAGATAATAATTTTTGGATGCTTAAAATTTCCTAGGTTTTCTCCAACATACAATATAAAATTTTAACAGATGATAAAATAATTTATTGTAATTCACTAAATTTAGTAGCTTACTAAATTTTACTAATTACATAATATATACTAAGTATCTTGCTTTAGTTCTAAGATGAGTCACCAAAGACTATTTTTCTTTTTTAGAAATTCAGAGGTTTAAATTACTTTTAATGCAGTGTATATATGCAAATAATATTTACATGTAATCAGAAAATTTGGTGGCATTTTAAAAATAGATAAATTTGAACTTCAACTTTATTTTTAAAAGATAATATATTTAGATCGTTCAAACACAAAAACAATATTAGAAAGTTATAGTATTATTTTAAATATAAAAGATAGTGAAACCAAGTTGTTTATTAATTCTTATACATGAAAGAGTTTAACCTAAATAACTTTATTTTGAATGTAAATATTTATATAAGAAGATTTGGAAAACAGAGGCTTTCCTGTCATTTTACAGTTACTAGTATTTTAGAAATTAAATAAGTATTCAGATATTAGTTCCTTTGGCTAGAAAGTAGAGCATATCTCTGTCTTACATGAAACTTCTAAAAGTTTCTGTGGTTTTTATAATATCTGAGGGTTTAATATTGCTAGGATATCATAAGTGAAAAAATAAAATCATTGAAACATTAAATAAAAAGTTTTGAAATGTAATTCTTTACTGTGGTAGATATAGGAAGTAATCTTTTGCTTATCATATAATTTTCCTATTAGGTAAAAACAGGAAAAATGTTTCATGATTAAATAGTAACCAAATGGCTCATTTACTCTTTTCTGTATTTTTGGAAACACACAGGTATATGGTTGCCAAATCACAAAGAGCCACAGGAAGGTGTAGTTCAGAACCGGTGGTGAAGGACGGTGAAGACTGTTAAGGAAGCTATTTTCATTATTATGCTGGGCACTGGCTCTGCTAACTGGGTCACTGTAAATTAAATCGACCATGTTTACAAATGCTGTTGCATAAAGAAATATTTCCCTACATATTAAAAGAAAAGTGCTAAACTAAAAATGCTATTTTTTACTTTCTGTGATTATTTTTACTACCCAAAGCTTCTCTAATTCCAGGTATTCTCTGTTAAATTGGCAGAATAAGTTTATTCAAATCAGTTTGTGCCTAAAACAGCTCTCATTTCAGCTCTTGCCTATCCTTCCCCTACCCAGATCTTTTGAAAACAACTTGAGATACCGTACAGAATTATGGTCACTCAATAGGTTTTTACTTTCTTAAAGCTGATGATTTATTTCAGGAAAAATAAAAATTCTCTACCATTCTTACTAGTTAAAAGTCACTTTGAACAAGTGGCTGAAATGTTTTTTTTGAAGGATATTAATTGTGAACATTAAATAAGACCATGCTTATACTTTAGATAGTCAACAAACATTAGATTCCAATCAACTGGCCAACAATTTGGCCAGAAGGAAATTGAGGCCACAAAAATACAGGAAATGGGGAAAGAGAGTAAAGGGTAGAAGAAAAAAAGATGAAATATAGATAGTTGTGTCCCTCCAACAAAATTTCTTTAGATACTATTTATTGGTAGACAGTAAATAGGCTGTTCCCTGAGTATTTACAACATGTATTTGTTAGTTTATCAAGTGCTAGAAGTATAAATTTACTTAATAAAATACTACTTCTATTAAAAAATTGGATAGCTTTGTAGATACCTTATAAAAAGGCTTGATTCTGATTATCTGTTGTATCAACAAATCCTTAAAATAAGTAACATTCCTTGTTAAAACAATACTAATGCCATATTTTTGCATAAACATTCCTGATGGCAGATGGAGGGCAATAAATATGCTTGGAAAAATACCTTATATTTTGGCTGGGGTGGCGGTTCACACCTGTAATCCCAGCACTTTGGGAGGCCAAGGCGGGTGGATCACGAGGTCAGGAGATGAAGACCTTTGTGGCCAACATGGTGAAGCCCCATCTCTACTAAAAATACAAGAATTAGTTGGTTGTGGTGGTGTGTGCCTATAATCCCAGCTACTAGGGATGCTGAGGCACGAGATTCCCTTGAACCCAGGAGGCAGAGGTTTCCGTGAGCTGAGATCATGCCACTGCACTCCAGCCTGGTGACAGAATGAGATTCCATCTCATAAATTAATTAATTTAATTAAATTAAATACCTTATATTTCTTCCCTAAAGACATCTCGAAGGTGAACAGTGAATGAAAATCATTTTCTACAGCAGTGATATGGTCTGGCTCTGCGTCCTCACCCAAATCTCATCTCCAATTGTAATTCCCATGTGTTGAGGGAAGGACCTGGTGGGAGGTGATTGGATCATGAGGATGGTTTCCCCCTTGGTGTTCTTGTGATAGTGAGTTCTCACAACACAAGATCTGATGGTTTAAAAGTGTGGAACATCTCTCTTTCTCTCTCTCCTGCTGACATTAAGACCTGCCTTGCTTCCCCTTTGCTTCTGCCATGAGGGTAAATTTTTTGAGGTCTCTGGAGACGTGTGGAACTTTTTGAGTCAGTTAAACTTTTTTCTTTATAAGTTGTCCAATCTCAAGTAGTTTTTTATAGCAGTGTGAAAGTGGACTTATAAGCTGTAAGCTGGATTTTGAGAGAACTGACAGGAAGAAGTTTGGCTGGGAAAATGAGTGCTGTACTTCTGATACCATTGGTTGTTTTCAGCTACCATCAGTTACAAGAGTTCAGGCAGGCCTTGTTTGTGCCTGTCTTCAGAAAAAAAAAAAAAGGAAGGAAAGAAGAGCAGGAGGGGGGAAGACAGGCTATATCGCCTTTGGTCTGAAATTTTTTATTTGCTAACCACCTGATTCTGGCCCTCTAGTTAAATTCTCCTGCTGTCCGAACCACTTAGTGCTAGATGCATCTTTGTTCTCACATCTCTGACATTGAA